TAGTAAAGTTTAAGGAATCAGAAAGCATTTTCTCAATATATGTACGGTTATTAGACATCATCATTTTCAGCTGCTCGAATAGAACAGCTGGAAATAATATCTGAAAACTCTCGTGACCTTTTACTCTTTAGTGTAACAATATCAATAAGTTTTAATTGCAGTAGCTTTTATCTTAGTAAATTCAAAAATGCATGCCAAAATTTCCCAATTTCCATTTCGTAATTTCAAAGTTATTCATTTGGTTTCTTTTCACTTTTTATCATCCAATCATTGATTATGCAATTTAATATCCAATCATTTTAATGTTCCAATCATATTTGTTTTGCTGGAATTATAGGAAATCATCATTCCTATTGGCAATTATTTCACTTCCAATGCTGTTTAATTCCTTCGATACTCCCTACTTTTTCTTACCGTATTATACACCATTGAAACAATATATCCTCAACTATTTAAACACTTTTTATTCTCCAATTTTTTAATAACATTTTCTTTTTGTGATTTTTTTTCGCTGAGTTACAATCGGTTCAATTATTGTAAGTGAAACAGAGAAATATTGTAAATTCCATTAATATATTATTGAAAAGTATTGTGATATTTGCTAACGGTGAAACTATTTTTTCCTATTTATCATGTAATTTGAAATCATCTGTGTGAAGTGATCGATCTGACTTTATTTGCACAGGATTCCATTGTTCATATTGAAAATTTTTCAATATTTGTAATGATGATTGTGAGGAAAATGATGGTTTTTTTTAAACCGCATACTGCGTATTGTCGAATTTTATCGGTAATTTGATTTGTTGAAGTCGTTAAAATAATGTTGCACTTTTCCACACTTAAAAAAAAACCTAATATTAATGAAATCTAGATCAGAGTTTTACGGACTTATACCTTGGACAGAGTAAGGAATAAGCTCCCTCCCAAAGTTATAAATGACTTTTGTCCATTAGTACGTGATTTTAAAAGTAAAAAAAAAGGTTGGATAGCCCATCCTGCACTCTATTATTGATAGATTCTTTTTTATGCTGGCGATCATCCTTGTAAACTTTTAAACTATCTTTACATTCATTCATCAAAATGAAAAATATTCCAGTCAACACCGGCCTCTGTTGACACCGCTGAATCATTCCGCCATCCGAAAGGGTGAAGCTCAAGATCTTTCAATTAAAATCCATGGATTATCTCCAACCATGTAATTTCCAATCAATTCTTAACTTTCTTTGTCTTTCTACCAAATGACTCAACATAATTGTAAAATCTAACCCTTGCTTTGGAACCCTCTTCTATTACTTAATGTAGCCGACACTTCACTACGCATTTGAAATATGCATCAAAGATCGTGCCAAAATTTTTTAGTCTTTTGTGTCGGAATATTTATTCCTCATCATTTAGGATTTTGTAACTTTGTTGTTAATTTTTCTTAAAAATTTGCCTGTAATTGAGAAAGATATGCGTTCATATTTCTGCTTTCTATAAGTGAGCGGTGATCGAATAATTAGATTTTTCTTCATTACGGCATGAAAAACAAGCCATTCTGGAAGTCTACCAACAGCAGAATTAACACTAATATTGTACTGTCTGTCATCAACGCCCCTAATCTCAAACATCATAAAATCCTATTTTATGATGTTTGCGATTACTTGGAGGAGTGAGCGATCATTATTACTAAATTTAACAGATCTACTACACTAATTATTATACTACAGTTGTATGCTGTCACATACTACAGCATAATAATTGTAAGTATGTAACAAGTACTCCTCAAATATGACAAGAATGCCAAAAAATAAACAATTGAGAAACGCAAATTCAATAAGGACTGTCCATTTCATTTCAAAAAAGAAACAACACAAGGCCAGAATAAAATGAAACGAAAATTTCCAATAAGAATTGCTCATTTTCATTTCAAAAAAAACAAGGCCAGAATAAAATGAAACGAAAGTTTTAGCACCGCTTGCAAAAAACGAAAGTCAATATACGTTTCCAATATTTAACATCATGTTGTGAATTTGTTTCATGTGTACTTCCACGAAATCTTGGAAGGCAGCTACATTCGATGGATCAATTTGCTTTCGAATTTCATTCAACGATTCCGAGAGGGTATGTAGATCAAGTGGAGTACAACTTTGTTGTCCCAGTGCTCGAATCTGTCGAAGAAATATACATTAATACAACCTAACTTGAATTCCTTTCGTTGGCAGTTAGTAGGTTTCTCAAGATTCTATCCACTGACTAAGTTAATGACATAAAGACATTCAATTTAAATCAGGTTATCTCCAACTTTTACTTCGGGTTTCATTCAAAAATTTACCTGTAATAGCAATGCAGTCAGTGAGGTAACCAAATCCAGCGCATGTTTATTTTGCACATTCAGTCCGTTATTGCAGTGTTTAACAATTTGTACTGAATGGGTTTGACACATTTTTTTTAGAGCTTCTGGTCGTGAAGTTAATGATAACTGGAAAATTCTAACTAATAATTTATGATAAAATAAACAAAATAAACATAAATAACTTATTCCTTCCGTACTTTAAAATACAGGAACATATACGATTTGTAACAAAATAAAAATAAATTAAAATTTACATTGAGTGCATAATCTGCAAATATTAATGGAACACTATGCAAAATAAGGAATAAAATATAATGCTCGATTAATTGCCATATAATATGATTTTCTTGAAAATGTAACACGTTAGCATAAATTATTGCCCTTGAATGTGAAAAGATAAGTGTAAAGTTTTGAAAAAGAGAAAAAGTATGCTTTGAAACTGACTTCACTTAATTGTGGCAACAATTGATTGCAATATTCACCGACGGCGTTGAGGTACGACTGCAGCTGCCTATTTACTGTCTCAACGTCAATAATCACCTGAGCGTACCTCCTCTGAAATCAATCTCCACTTTAATTGTTACTCGGTAAGGCAAACGACTAAAGCACTACATGACTAATTTTGAATCAATTATGCTTCTTTTATTTCATGAGACCCGAAAATCAATAAGTAGAAAAAGTATACCTGGAAAGCCATCGGATAAGCATCTGTTATCATATTCATTTTTTCAGCTTCTGTATTTAGTTCAGTTAATGATTTAACCAAACTTCGCTTAACTTCTACTAGTTTACTTAACTTCACAAGAATAACGAGCATTCGAACAGGGAAATTTCCGACTTTTTCATCTCGGACTGCAATAAGAAAAAACCAGTAACAGATGAAAAAACTAGTAAATAAAAGTAAAATTAGCGCAACTGCTGCATTAAATAAACATTAACTCAAGGAAAAAAGGAAGAAAAATTTAAAATATATAAAACATTCCACATAGCTTTTTAAACCTGAAAGCAAACTCCAATGCTCATGAAACCGAATCTTCCGCCATGCCAGACTTACTAATCCTACCAGTTTCAAATCGACAGTTACTTAATCCTAAAGGCTAATAACGGTGCAAATCCACAAACCTGACGAAGAAATACACTTCAGTGAGGGTGAAATCAATTTCAAGAAAGAGTGGAATGATTAGGGGATCCGTGAAGATATTAAAATTATCAGGGCTGAAGTTATCCACTATAACGAATTTTCTGATAATGGCTGACTAGCTAATAACTTGTAAAAAAATTACATTGCACACCAAATAAGCCTGGTAACCCTGACATCCTCACCGCAGTAACAATCTAATACAACCAAAGAATAGTATTTAAAATAATCCAATTTTTTCACCAACATATGGCACATGGCAATATCTTTCCGTCTCTGTTGAAAATATTGAGATTTATATTCCACTGTTTTTAAAAGCTATTTTTACACTGCAATCAAGAAGAGGTCTTTTACATCTGAAAAACATTTAATGTAATAAACTTTGTTCGACTCACTTCTCGTTGGTTTTCGAATAGAATCTAGTCCTGTAGGTGAACGACTGGAGGATGGTGCATCAGTGAACTTTGGAAGGACTCCAGCATGACCGAATCTGATCAATGAGGGCGGAATAGCAGAACGATTCTGTTCCAAAAAATAATTAATTGAGAGTAGCTCAATCTGTAAAAAAATTTGATACTGTTAGATTTCGCATAATCAACCATTCATTGTGGTGGATAAAATAAATATTCAGATAGAATATAAAATAAATATTTCTTACTACTCTTACCAAAAGTCTTTTACAGATAAGTTCAAAAACGAGAAAAATGAAAATATGAACCGTTTGAGCAGACATAACCTCCGAATCCTTGATAATCATAGGTGGTATCATTTCCTCCTTATCGAAGACCACTCTATATGAAGCCGGCAATATGGCATCAATCGTGCCAGCATAGATACCATCTTTAGGAGTTCGCACGCGTGCGTAAATTTTTGCTCCGATTACTAAGGGAGGAGGTAAGCGTACTGGAAGATCACATCCAGATGGAATGCTCATCAAGCTTCCATCATAAATCTGACGGATTCTAGCTCTATAAACTGTCAGCAAGTCTGTGAAGATAAATTCCAGAAAATAAGCAAACTAATGATGTAATGATAAGTATAAAACAGCAATATTTAATTGCAACATTATTAATAATATCAATAACAATTTTTATTCAAGAAACAGAATATTCAAATAAATCTTTAATGTTTAACATGTTAACCTTTTCGATTCCAACGACTCACGTTCTTCATTTAGAAAAGCTTCAGAACATCTCCTTGGTTTTCCTATCATTCTCCTTATAGCTCTCCATTCTGGCCGACAAAGTTTAAAAGTACGCAAATTCGGAAACATTTCATGAAGCAACTGTACAAATTCATTATCTCCAGAGAAAAGTTGTTGGTCAACACCGGAGTAAAAAAATTCACAGTAAACCCACCTACGAGCCTAAAAACAAATTAATCATTTTTTCAGTTATTTGAAAAATAGCATATGTCCCAACAGCGACCAAAATAAATTCTGTCAAAGAATCAAAATCCCATATTTCATATCTTCATCAATCTATCCATTTACAATTCCTGCTATTTTATTCCGCTAGTCACTGAGTTAGGTCTAAGCTATAAATTTTCGAATGAAAAAAAAGACAATGCCTTAGGGAGCTTCAAAACATTTTTCAAATGCCGTAAATTTTCCCTCATCGTTGGCGATATTTCAGACGGTTGGGGACGTGCAGTACGCAGTATCGCATTTTCCCGTGAAATATCTTTTTGTGTACCATTATTCATAACCTTCTTTGGACTCTAAAATAAAATTATAACCTCCAAAGATCGTATCAATTTAGCGAATTTATTACGATATTTTAGCAATTTCAGATTTTTTAGAATAAAAGTAGTATTAGAAGGTAAAATTTGTCGAACCAGCTCACGAGTATTATCCAGTTGTACATTTTTGCCTCAGAAACTCCCGCCTACTTTGTAGGAAGAATAAACGAATCATCAGTTAAATTTTGATAGCAAAGAAAGGCATCGAAGGAAGACAAGAATCTTTCATTCAATTCACATAATAAAACTTACTTCGATTGACTTTGCGGGCACTCGATTGTTGGTACCACTTGAAACATTGCTATCAGTATCACTTTCTGCTTTTATTGCTTTTCCACCGCGTTTTAATGGTGAAAAACGTTTGCTGAAATAAATGCTTACTTCTTAAATTAAAAAAAAAGACAAGCATATATGAAATATTGGAAAGGCTATTTTGAAACACTATGACATAAAGTGCGTAATATAAACTGATAAATAATAGAGAAAAATTGTTCAATATTTCAAATAAACTACCTTTTTGGTTTTGAAGTTGACAGGCGTGCAACTTCATGGCTTTCATCACCTGAATCCGTATAACGTGAAGGTGGTTTAACAGGTCCACGAAGATGATACCTCGACGATTCGCTGTCCCCCGGCATTTCTCGAATTTCTCACTGGAATAACTATTTGATAATATTTACGACATTATACAATCATACTCAAAACCTTTAACCAACACACCAAACCATTCAATCCACATTACGCCAAATATTCGCCCGCACCATTACTTTTCGAATTTTGAAATGGTCGATCTTCTTGTCAAGAGCCTCATTTAGCTCCATTCAGCTGTTGCAGCAGGAAAATTCTCAGAATAAAGTATGATGGGGAGTTTCTCGATTGAATGAAATCAATAGTGGGATTGTTTTCATGCAGGTTGCGTTATGTGCATGACATATGTTGAATTTTATATTTATAAACTTATCAGTAATATCTTTAAATTACAATTATTGACAGACGAGTTATGCCTTCCTGTCATTTTATAAATTTCATTGTAAAATAATCATTGAATGAGAAATGATAATACATGTAATCATAATATAATACATATAATCATATATCGCTTAATATACTTCTATGAGAAAAGTTCGATACAAGAAAAACAAAAGGATTCTGTGGATATCAGAAATCGTTATTTCGTGAATTTCTAAATACATCGCTAATATTTTATCATTACGATATGGAAATTTTTTTAATATCATTTTCTGAATTTTCATTAATTTGTGGATTTTGCGGTTTTGTATGTATCAATATATCTCTTGGTTTACTTTCATAATTATTTTTGGAAAAATAAAATACTTATTGAACTTATGCTAATTTCGTAGTTTGTGTGTACTATATCTTCTCGTAATTTGCCATCATCGCTGTTTTTTCTATGATTGTTATCAATAACAAAAGAGACCAATGTAGATAATCGAAATTGCGGCGTTAGTACTACCGATAAGTATTCATTCGTTTTAGATTTTATACGAGACTGAAAATAATTCGAAAAATGTTAGCTGATCCTAAAAACGAAGTGGGCTCAATGGATCGTTATCTTTAGTGATAACAAACTATTCGTTATCGAATTTAGTCACTACAGAAAAAATAAATTACAATAAACTTTCATTTAATATTGCTTAATATCTACTGATCCTAAAGCCTCATTTTCATAGCAAGGATCAAAAAAAAGCAAAAATTAATAGAGTAATTGAATCAGAAAATTAATCTTTTGCTGGAAAGATTTTTGTAGTTCCAAAAAAAAGCTACATTAGAAAATATATCAAACACGAACGATATTAATATTATGCTATTTATTATTATTTTTAGATTAAATTAGTTAATTCCGGTTTGATATCAGTTTAATTGATGATTGAGAATTATGTTTGCTTCTTTCAATTATCTAAGGCAATATGATTGGTGATGGTGTTTAATGATGGCTAAAATTTGTATGCAACAGATTCTTTAAAATAGCTCCAAAAATATTCTTAAAAATTTCACGATTCCATTGAGATTACTGAAGTTTAGTATTATGCTCGCATGACCGGTGTTATTTTCAGTTGATCTGCTTTAAATGATTCCAAATTATGTTTTTTATCTGTTCCATAACATCTAGATTGAAACACTTAATTACTGAATTCTGGAATTGTGCATGAGTTCCTGTAAATGTTCAAGTTATCATTAAATTGTTGATGCTGACTACAGCAAAAAGTGATACTGTCTACGTGATAAAAAACTGGGCGAACGACTTTAAAATTTGACTCAATTTATTCGGCATTTTCCGCTCTCAATGACCAGCTTAACATAAAAAATAAAAATCAATTTGTTATTGCAGTAATATTACCGTGCAAAAATCTTTCCGAATGCTTTTTTCGATACTATGAAAGCAAACACTATCACTTTTGAAAGTTTTTCTTTTTTAATTTTAGAATATCATGCCACTCCTTCAATAATTCATGGAGAAATGATGAAGCTATACATACTTTATTAATTTTTTTACAAAAATCACTCTTCTTTTTACTTTCATTTCCTATAAATTTATTTTTTAAAAAATTTTTTTTAAAGTTTAAAAAATTGAGTTGAAAAATAGATGCCTTTTTAAATTATCATATTATGCCAACGTATTGTACCCTTTCATCTTACTGACATGCATTATTGCATGAAGCGTAAGTATGAAAATACGTTGGATTTCTGGAATGTTATCGGAAGTCATCCCTCGCCTGATTGTAACACTGAATTTGACAAGTATGAATTCCGTACGAAATATCTTTCTTTCTTTAAACTTCTGATGACTGGTCAGATGAATAACATTTCAAATTTGAGGTTAATTCACGAAACAGTATACGAGAGGTAGAGAGAGAGAGACACCGATGCGAGTGGTGCTTTTTTTTCTTTCATTAATTTTTTATAGAGCGGTTAGTATAGTTGATATTGTTAAAACTTTATTAAATTTAAGAAATTACTTTAGAAATACGAAATAATTCGCCAGGTATCGAATCGATCGTAAAAATTTCCTCTTGCACTTTTGAGGCATGTTTGTTATTGTACATAAATAATCTTCTTGTGTTTTTCTCTCTGCTTTCTCTTTTTCTCTCTACCTTTCTCTCTCTCTTTCTTTAAGCATTCGCTAAATTCTTTGAAAATTTGATTTTAAGCAATTCTTTCGACGAAACACGTTCTTTCCTTCACTCTCCATTCTCCTGTCATCTTTCCTGCTATTTCTCGCAACTTCAAGTGCTGAGAATTTGTTTGTTTTGCAGAACATTTTTGAGAATAGTGCGATTTCCAATTAATCATATTATGCTCATATCATACTGTGTTATTCAATTTTTTTTATTAAATTAAATTAAATTTATAGCAGTAGTCGAATGTTTATAATTATAATAGGTGAAAAAGCTAGGATAATAGTACAAATCCTAAGTTTCAGAAATGAGTTTGGTGGAACAGTTGATGTATAGTAGCGATCGATGGACTGCTTTACAGTTCGCCTTCTATAATGCCCTATTACTTTCATTGGTATGTTATAAATTTAAATTGATTATAAACTATCATTTCTTTCATTTCACTGATTCTTGAAAATATCGCTATCAAGATGCTTATAATGAATGGAGCATAATATTCTACTGATTTATGAAGTGAATTCAATAAAATTATCTTGGATGCGGACTAAATTATGTGCAGTGACTTTCTATGAATCCATTAATTATATTGATTTAAAGATAACTGATTCTGTCTTTCAAATAATTATTTTACAGACAGGAATATGCTTGGCAGGGCTTTATGCTGTATACAAAATGATGTATATGTTTTTAACACCGCTGTTGTGGGCTACACTAATTGGAACGATTCTTTTTCCACTCAAGAAAAAGTTTAACACTGCAATTAATGGTACTATTTCAATGAACTCATTAATGATTTATATCAAAAGTAAAGCTTTACAGGCTCATGGAATGGGATTTTGTTTGCTTAAGATAGTTTTAGCTCTAACTGATATTGAAAAAAATGATAATTTAATATTAGAACTCGTAAATTAAGGTTGGATATCAAGAGTGGACAATGACGAGACACCAGTGCTTTTAGCTGTTCTCCTCATTCCGTATGATGCATTCATAAGTGTCACCGATTTGTTCCTCATTTATTTGGCAAGGTTTGAGAAGTTCCAGACCTTTATCTTCTAAAATTCGATTTTTTTAACAAGTTTTGTTGCATAATTTTTTTAGAGAAAGACCTGGTTATGATCTGTATATTGATATTTACGTTGTAGACTCGAAGGAATTATGATATTGGGTGCTTATTTGGTTTTGAAAGCGTTAAATCACATTACGTTTATCGCTTTATTACATCTTCTTAGTGATTTGTACCAAAATACCGATAACGTCATTCTGTTTTGCACCAAAACTTGGGTTAGCTTCCATTAAAAACTTTACTCAGATTGAAGCATTATTTGATGCTTCTTATTTTAATTTATATGCACTAGGAAACTGAAGTGAACTTAAATTTGTTCTTAAATGTGGATCTAAAAATGAACTTAAATATATATGTAGTTATTTGCTTCAAGTTAATATGGAAGCAAAAAAGAGCATTCATAGGCTTCTTTATTTGAATTTTTCATAAGCAAATGAAATTTGTTCTGGGAAAAATTGCATAAGGAAAGAACCGTAGTTTTGCATTTTTCATTATGATTTCTTAAAGGTCTCGGTTTTGATGATGCTTTACTTTGCTGCATTTATCGGTTGGCTTTATGTGCAGGATCAACAATCAATAAATAAAAAATTGGCGCGTTTAATTTCTGTTCCTCTCTGGTAAATTCTTTTTACTACAACCATAATTTTACAAAAATTGTTTTACAGAAAAAATAAATTAATAAATAAAAGTCCATAAATTAAGAAATAATCTATCTCCCTTATTTTCTATCCATGGCGCTCTGCGGACACTTTTCATGAACAATGAGATGTTCATCTTCCGGAGAGATTTTGCTTTGTCATAAATACGATTTATTGTTGTCTACATTCTCTTAAATTTAAATATCACGATGGTACTATGAATTTTTATGTATAATTTTTGTATAGGTTTTTCGGTATAGCGAAGGTTTCCAGCTTTTTTGGTCCATTCAGTGTTATTGTTATGAATGCAATCTCAGCAGCTCTTATAACTATAGCAGCTGGTATTTTGACTTGGGGAGAAGTCGAAGCAGATTCAGAAAAAGCCGATGGTTTGTTTTGCTTCTCCGTTTAGAAGTCTTCTAGACCAGCTGACATCTATGTTATTACATTATCAGTTTGATTATATTCGACAATGTGAATCTGTATGAAAGGAAATTGAAATGAGAAGGAAAATTCGAAGTAAATTAGATTTGATTCAGATGTCGGTTTAAAAGAAGCTGTACAGGAATCTGCAGAAAATAACAAAGAAAAGACACTCGACCAAGAGCTAACGGGAGATTTTTATCTGCAGGTGATCAATAGTCATAGCTTTCTTAAATCTAATCTGTTTTCAGTTTTTTGTTCAAAAGAACATTGTTTATCGTCCTTAAAATTTTCTATTTGAAGTTGAAAAACTACCGAAATTTTCTATTGCCAGTTACGATTTTTTTCTCCTCAGTACATATTTTCAAAGTTCGTTTGCTTTTTTATTTTTAATTTTTGCAGGCTATTCTTGGACTTTGTGCTTTGGAATTTGCTGTGCGACATGACTTTGTACCAGTTTGCATACTCTTTCTAGCTGTCTTCACTGTATTAAGAAGAATTGGTGATTACTGCTGAAATTGATCGAAACTATGGATCTCACCCTTTGAGCGATACCCATTACTCTTGCTTTGGGTGCAAAGAAGAAATTCATTAATTTCTCGGAACATGAATCGCTGTAGCTTAGTATTTCAAAATTATGTCATTCATCTTGTTTTTATTAATTTTCTTTTAGTGTTCTTATCGTAATAAGAATAAGAAATATTATTCAATAAAAACAAGACTTTCTTATGACGAAATTTCGATCATAGCTATTAAAACGCCTTATTTTATATTATATTTCTTAATTTGAAAAAGCAAATATTGTCCAAACTTATTATTTTATCTAGAGAAAGATTCTAATTTCTTAATTCTTAGATCAAGCAAATTTTAGGTGCGAAGATTAGTGTGCAGACTGGTCTTACAAAAAAGTGTTGCGAGATTTGGAAACTATTCCGCGAAAATACGAAACAATTCCTACATGTTACTATTGCAGGCTCACTTAGAAATTATTTCAAGTTCATTTTTTCAAGTGATAAAATGGTAAATTTTCATTAATGCAGACAATTTTTTCACTTAACACATTATTCATTTGCGCATTAGATTTCATCGTATCATACAGACTTCATGCAGTATATTACTAAAATTTTCAAGATTTCTATTGTAAAATGACCGGATGTTGGCATGTATCTTTATAACAATCGGTTATCCGGTTTTTAATTTTAGATTAATTTCGTTCCAGATGAAGAACTCATTACGGCGAGCAGTGGATGATTTTTCAACTGTCCTAGTTATGTTGTTGCTAATTTTTGGATCGCTGTTTATTACCATCCTAGTCGCTTTTCAAGTCCATAGTGAAATAGATCATCTGATTCGACTTGGTGCCAATTTGCTGGCACAGCAACCTGACTGGATGTTAGATTATGCACGAAATTATACCGGAAATCAACTGGATAAAAATGACATTGATAACTATGTCGAACAGGTAATTGAAATTTCTCTCTGCTGTAATTTTTCAATGAGTGATAGATGATTGTATGCAAAGATATTTCCCTACATTAAAAAAGCATTTAAAGGGTTATCTCAAAGGACGAGAATGGTTGGCGACTAACGTCCGCTCATTCGTTGGAACACAAGATCCAGTTAAAGGTGAATTGCTTGAAAAGGAAGTGGTTGAGGTTGGGTTTTCTGTGAACTTTGAAGTTTCTTAAGAGATATACAATCTGAATTTATTGAATGCATTTTAATGAGAAGAATTTCTTTGACTGAAAAGTTTTTTAAAAAAGGTAACGCATATTAAGTAATATATCTAGCGCATGTTAATGCAATCTTTGTTTACTTGTTTTTTTCTTTACTGCATCATTTTTGACAATTACATAAACTTAGTTGTAGGCAAATAAGGGAAAAAATGAAAAAACTGAATTATTGCTTTAATTTGATCTAAATGAGTCATTCAGAGCAACATATAATGATATGAAGCATAAATTAGTAGTAAAATTGTCCTCTTATATCTTTTTTCCTTCTTGTTTAGTATTTGAATTATGCCTCCTAAGCATATCGACTTGTAAAATTAATGAAAACGCCAAATAGTAAAATGCGAGATATGAACCAAAAAGATCTTTTAGTTAATGGACAAGTTGTACAAAATGTGGGAAGACCGTAATGAAGCAAGTATTTCATCATCTAGCAGTGCTACAAGAGATTCGATGAATTATCTAGAAGTTTTTACAAGCATAAGCACACTAAGAGAGGAAGTGATCGAACTTATTAAAGCAAATGTTGATACGATCATGAGCGTTAGTGTTTTATCAACTCTGTTTTTTAAACAGCTGCTTTATAATAACCCCTACTTAACTGATTAAATGTTCATATATTTAAGCTTATGTTGAATTACCTGAATTAATGACTTCATAATCTACATTGACTGAATAGTCAATCTTTTAGCAGCCGATTTCAAATTCCCATTCCTCACTTTAGTAAGATTAGACGACGTCTTGGTTGAAATGACTTTGGTCATTTTTATTAAATTGTTTAATGAGTTTACAATGCCAAGTTATTTTGAAATTATTAAATTATTTTTAGGTTGCGCAGTCGATCTGGTCCTTTGCCGCAGGCAATATATCTACTTTCGGGACAATTTTATTCACAATTATTGCAATTGTGATAAACTTTGGACTTGAAATTTTCAATTTTTTCATTGAAATTGTAAGCTTTCTTTCTTGAATTAGGTTTGAATTTAAGACAAGAAACTATGGAAAAAGTCAGTTTGCTTGTATCAAAATCTTTGCTCTTCTCTTAAATCACTTGTTTTTAGACTGTTTTTCTGACAACCTTGTATTATCTATTAGCAAGTAGCCAAGATATCTGGTTGCCGACAAAGTGGCTTAGTTATGCGTTACCTCACTCTCGTGATACAGTTGGTTCTGCCCATTCATATATCGTTCCAGCCATTGAAAAAGCTATAAGGTTACTTTTAACTAATTTTTAAATTTAATGAAAATCTGATCAATGCTAGTTTCTCATTTATTTATCAGTTTTTCGGTGCTTGTAATGAACTGAAATTGTTTCATTTATGAAAAATGTTGTTTCTCTGGTTTAGAAAACCTTACTGCATTAGACAAATTTTCTTCGGATTCTTTTTTTTCATTTCATTTATTGTTATTTCATTATTTTTTTTAGTGGGGTATTCGTGCTGTCGGCAAAGATGTCACTCTTCTATGGTCTGTATAATTATTTAATTCATGCTCTATTCGATATCAACGTTGTTTTTATTCCATCAGTTAAGTGGTTTTCCAATATTGCAATAAAAACAAACATAAAATTACTGCATTGTAAAGAAGAAAGAATTCTGTTTGAGTTAACATTAATGGCTGATCCTCGGAATAGATTTTAGATTTATTCCGTCGAGAATTTTCATTG